GTGAGTTAACAAGGTAAACTACTTTCAATTTTGTACATGCTATCAACTATGCAAATTATTGGTAATAAAATAAAAATTTATGAGGTTTTTAAATTATTACATTTTTTAATTACATTATTATTGAATTTTTTGCTGTCTAAAATACATTTACATATATATATAAAGCTGTTATTTTTCATTTAATAAATTACTATTTTTAATTTTATTCATTCTTTCCTTAATTATAATATCATATGACATAATAAAATATAAACAAACAGCTGCTAAATTTTAATTCCACCAGAATAGAAATTATTACATTTTATTAATTAATGGAATATATTCTAGAGTTCAATGAATGCTTCCAAAATTTTTAATTATGGTAATAAATTAAGGATATATTACTAATATTTTATTAAATATTTTGTAAGAATATAGAATAGGATGTAATTAAAAACAGACGATAATTTATTAGGTAATTCTCAATTACTGTTATAAGGAAACAATCAAAAGAGTAGGATATAAAAATTAAAGAAAATGTGAAAAATAATTATAAGAGTTGTAAAGAACTGGTTAAAAACACATACATGCAAGCCTCCACAGAACAAAAATAAAATATATTTTAAAAAATGGCAAGAGTCAGCAGTACTGTTTAATGTAAAAAATTTTAATGAATAAAAAGTTTTAATATTGTTCACACAAAATGTGTTTGTTGAAACTTTTTTTTTCACCAAAGATCAAAGTTTTTTTAAAAGGTTTAGGATAAATATTGTAAATTTTACTAATTACAGTTTTTTTGAAATAGAAGTTTACTGTGTATGTATTAGTGGGTAACTGTCGACAGTGAACCGTAGTATATAAGGGTTAATAAATGTATGATTTTAGATATGTTGTTGCGAGGATATCGCATTGAGTCTGGATGTATTGTGTACAACTCCGATAAGAAATTCAAAATGCATTTTAGCTATCAGATTGAATGCTGTATAATATATTAAATACTTTTACAATAAAATAATGGTTTCAAGTCTCTTTGTGTGATAATCCCTAAAATAACTGGAATATAGCAGTAATTGAGAATTAATTAATAAAAAGGGAATAAGAAGAGAGTTGGTAGACATATAGTATTATAATTTATTAGGTTTCTAAAGTTTAATATAGCTTTTATTAAGGATTCTTTCATAGTTACCAATTAAAAGTTATACAACAACAACCTTATAAACACCAAATAGGAGTCAAATAAATTTTTTTTTAATTATTTACATTATCATATGACTGAAAAGTTAAGACTCATAACAAACCTTATATATAGCTTAATGGAATATAGAGGTTATTTCGATAAAAATTTCCATTTAAAGTTAAATAAATTGGATAGAAAGTGAAACAATTAATATCCTTTTCTCAAGAAAAACAGAATATTCTTGGACAAATAATCGTACAAGAATTTCATTTATATATAGAAGTACTGTACACTATACAAATACATTATTACATTTTAATCATTTTCAATTTTGTCTGTTGTATTTGACTTAAATTCATAGAACAAGAGCTTCTCAATGCAGAACTGAGTTTTGTTTTTTTTTTATGTTCCTTTTCTATTTCATCTTAGAATGGAAATGCATATAGATCTTGCATTTAAATTTATCATTTACATATTTTTTCTTTTCGTATCACAACTCTATCTTCTTTGATTTTTAAATTTAATTAAACCTTATCTGTAGATAGTTGTAGTAATGTCAATGGCAGATAGTCCAATAGTATATTTGAATACATCAGATCAATAAGGTATTATTTGTTGTTATTTTATTTTTAATTTTTCTTTTTCTTAAGTATTATAATTATTTACTTACTTATTGTTTGCATATATAAAAGACAACTTTTTCAATTTCGTTTTATCAGATTATCAAAAGGTTGTGAGAAAACAGGTAATTAATGAAGAAAGATATTCTTTGATGATTAATGGCAGAGAAGCAGAAGAATGCAATGAATCAAATATTTATTTTTACATCATTTATATTTTATTTTTATTTAAAACAAAATGAAAAATAATAAAAATCTTGATTAGACAAATTATATAATTATTATTCAATGTATATTATAATCTAAGAATTCAAGATAAACAAATCCTAACAAACAAAAATATGTTTGGAATGAATAAAAATATGTTGCAAAAATTGATGTATGTATATATATATATAAAATTAAGGAAGTATGACTAAGCAACTGTCATTGAGTAAATATAAATAAAACTATATTTGTACATATTGGAAATGGACAATCTATAAAATTCAAAAATAGGAAATTTCAATGCTTCTTCGGCAAGTAAATGATACTGTAAGCAAAATATAAATAATTTATTACTTTTTCAATACATTTTTTTTCATATACGTATCAATACTATTGTATGTTATTTTAAATAATGCTATTCTAGAGTGAGTCATAAGAACAAAAGTCTCCCCATTCTCCATTAAAATTCTATACACTTTTACTTTTTTTTTCCACCTGTTCTCTTGCATACATTTTGATTTTATCTCTGTCTCTCATGTCATTTTCTTCTTTAGTTGTATTTTTCTTTACATTATTATTTTTTTATTTCAAGATAACTGACTTTCTTTCATAAAAAGTCATTAAATATATATAATCTTATATCAAATACTTTTCTTTCCTATCAATATAATCTCTAATTTTTTCATTCTGTTATTTCTTTTATAATTTATGTTTCATTTATATAATTTGAAGGGATAGTTTTTTTCTCTCGTGTTATTTTTCATCATTTAAAAATAAGAATGATATTTGAACTAACTAAATTATTTAAAATTGCTTTAAATTATTGGATTTATGAAATTGCACTGCTGTTCATACAAGAATTATAGAAGTTTATTTTTATTTACATAGTTTAAATATAATTATATTTTTATGAAAAATTAAAAGTATAAATTTTAAATATCACAGAATTATGGCAGCCTCATTCAAAAGAGTATTAAAGAAAAAAATAGAGATTATATTGATAGGAAAGAAAAGTATTTGATATAAGATTCTTTCATAAAAAGTCATTAAATATATATAAAGTCAGTTATCTTGAAATAAAAAAATAATAATGTAAAGAAAAATACAACTAAAGAAGAAAATGACATGAGAGACAGAGATAAAATCAAAATGTATGCAAGAGAACAGGTGGAAAAAAAAAGTAAAAGTGTATAGAATTTTAATGGAGAATGGGGAGACTTTTGTTCTTATGACTCACTCTAGAATAGCATTATTTAAAATAACATACAATAGTATTGATATGTATATGAAAAAAATGTATTGAAAAAGTAATAAATTATTTATATTTTGCTTACAGTATCATTTACTTGCCGAAGAAGCATTGAAATTTCCTATTTTTGAATTTTATAGATTGTCCATTTCCAATATGTACAAATATAGTTTTATTTATATTTACTCAATGACAGTTGCTTAGTCATACTTCCTTAATTTTATATATATATATACATACATCAATTTTTGCAACATATTTTTATTCATTCCAAACATATTTTTGTTTGTTAGGATTTGTTTATCTTGAATTCTTAGATTATAATATACATTGAATAATAATTATATAATTTGTCTAATCAAGATTTTTATTATTTTTCATTTTGTTTTAAATAAAAATAAAATATAAATGATGTAAAAATAAATATTTGATTCATTGCATTCTTCTGCTTCTCTNACACTTGATCTTTTTTAACCGTGTGGAAATTTTTTACCAATTTTTATCAGTGTTTAAGAAGAGTTCTTCAAAGCATTTTTTTAAGCTGTTACTTCTATGGTGGTGTATAAAGGATAAAGAAGGACTCAAAAGTTTTTTGACTTTTTTGTACATAGTCTAAACTTCAAATTATGAAGAAAATAAATCCTGAGTTATCACAAAAATTGTAACTAAATAGTTTGCTTTAACATAAAAAAAAAAGCAAAAATTCAATAACATACAAATTTAATAGAAGCAACTGAATATTAAGCATCAAGAAAGGAATTTGTTACATAAATTATAAAATATTTTTTATGAGAAAATGACTTATAAAAAAAACTATTTTTAATAATAAAAATTAATTTGACATAATTTTCATCAAAAAGTATAAAAGAATTGTAAAATCAATTTAACAAAAACTAAATTATAAAAACATCAATAAATTAATAAATGATAATAATAAAGAAGCATATATGTGGTTACAATTGATAAATAAAATAGCTAATAAATAAATTCTAGTAGTTTACAGTCAATAAAAAAATGTTGATAATTTAATATAAATTAAAATCTTTTTAGCCAATTGATGTAATTCAGTTATTTAAAAAAAAATTAGAAATTCATCTTTTCACTTACGAAGAATGACGAAGGAAGACAAAAAATGCAATTATACATCCAGATGTGAATTGTCAGATTGAATTTTCTTTATACAAAATTTTAAAAAAAGTTTATTGCACTATATATTTTTATACCATTTTTTCTGTAATTTAAAATACATTTTGATAAGTGATAAAGAAGAAAAACATTTAAATTTTAGATTAATCTTTAGATATTCATCTGTTATGTAAATAAATTTTAAAAATCCTATTTATATAAGTTAGTAATCATCATGATTTGACAACAAATTATTGATGATTACATATCATTGTTAAATATACCACTACTACATTTTTTATCATATAAATAGATATCAAATTATAGATTAATATAAAATTAGTTTAGAAATGATCTAACAACACAAAAATTAACAAATGTTAATATTAAACACAGTTAAATTTAACAATTTCAAAATTTTTATGTTGCAATATATGTTCAATAAACAAAATTTCAAAAATAGTTATATATTATACATTTACACACAAAAACAGTTGTTATATATTAAAATTTAATATATAAAAAGGAAAATATTAATGTCATAAAATGCTTGTCACTGACTTTTTATTATGAACTCTTATTTTATTTATATTTATAGTTCATTTACATAATTATACCAAAATATTTTACCAATGATTAAAGGGGAAAATTTTCTTGAAATGCTCAGGACAAAAATCTCTCTGAAATAAAAAAAATTACTACATTTATGAACAACAATAAAATGTTCTCTATCTCCATGACTTTATTTATAAAAGAAAATTAAATTATTTACCGGTAGTAACAAAAACATTTTTGTTTAATGAATCAGAAAAAATGTTTTATACTTAATCTTTTGCGAATGTAATTAACTTAATCCAACTTACTTTAAAAATAAACACTGTTTACTAGTTTCTTAGAATAATAATGCAAACTTCCTCATCTTTATTTATAAACAGTTACAGCTTTCAATGATTTAATCTGAAAAAACCAATATGACAGGATTGCTTTTATTAGAAAGAAAAAGGAATAAATTCTTTATTTTCCAGAGGATTTTTCTTAGAATTCTTACATCTCATGGGTATCAATCCCAAAGGAGATTTATGATCCATTGGTTGAGAACAACCATCATAGTATATTGGTAATTTATCACTGCCAAGATCAATTGAAATCATATGAGAATAGTTCAAGAGGGTTTCTATGTATTATATTCCACAATTCGTCAATATCCAACAGAATTTTTGACTTAAAATATTTTTATATAAATAACTTTTGTAATTCAAAAATATTTTATCAGATTAAAATTATTAAAATTTATTTTAAGATTATTAAATGTCTGACATTTCCTATTTTAGAATGTACTTAATAGATTAACATATTTAGCAAAAAAGTATGAAACTTTTAATTATGTATAGTAAAATAATAAATAATTATAACAAATTATAATATCTTCAAAGTAGCTTAGTGTATCTATCAATCCAACAATTTAAAACTAAAGAAAATAAACCATTTTAAACATTATTAAATGTATTGTTCAAAATCATGAATGGATAACAATTGTTTCCATTAATTCGACATCATTTAATTAAAAAAAATTTAAACAATTTACTGAAGATTGGATAATGAGTCAAAATTATACGTAAATTAAAAAATATACTATTCAAGCTGAATGTTACAAGTCACAAGTGAGTATGCTACATTTATTTTTACAAATGAAACCTTAACAAAAACGTAATGTTATAACAAAGAAAAAGAAAATAAATTGTTAATATTATGAAATGAATGAAATAATCAAGTAAGGAGTAAGTTAATAGGCCAGGTTAATTAAGGATAATATATTCTTTATACAAAAAGTTGCAGATTCAAAAAGCATAATCATGATATATGTATTATGGGATCTCATTCTGTCTTTGAAAGAATTATTTCCTATTCTTTACTACTGTATTAGATACAAAATGAATTATAAGTTTAAAAAATGTGCATAAATTTTAAAATACAACTTAATTTTTTTTAAGTAAAAATATGTTTAAAAATCGTCTACAACACTTACTAAAAATTAACTAAAATAAAATTTAAAATAAATAGATAAAATGGATAAAAGCATAATAAAATTTAATATCACATCTTATTTATAAAATAGTAATATAGTTTCTATTTGGAAAACTATAATAATTTTTTAATTGAAAATTCAATACATTCTTAATATTACATATAAATTTTAATAAGTGTAAATAAGAAAATTAAATATAGAAGACATGACCATAAATCTTATATAATATACACATGGTTTAAATCATAAACGTCAGCCAAACAATATTTTAAGAGCAACTGTTTACTTGAATTATAAATTTATAAATTATTTATATTTTATTTAAAACATTTATCATTTCATTATTTGAAATTGAAGTATTTAAAATGTTTTCTAGGTTTATTAAAAGTATAATGAATCTAATTATGACAAACATTAAGAATAAATATAGAAAGCTCAACTCAACAAAATTAATGTACACTGCTTTATTTATGTACAACAAAACAGCATTAAATTTGAACTAATATGCCTTTCCATTGCAACTTGTATATAAGTCTATGTAACATTGAATTTTTTCCAAGTTCTATTTATTTTTATCATAAGTTCAAATGTCTTTTACTGCTTATTACTTGAAAAAGTTACTAATGATAACATACTAAATACAATAATCCGTAGCAGGAGTTTTACTTACGAGAGCATTGTGAGAGATGTTTAAAAATTTCATGTATTAATTAGACTTAATAATAATGTTTTTATTTTATAGTACATTAATTTTTCTTCCTAGAATTTTGAACAGAACACAATGTGAAGAGCAGCTGACTTTATTTTAGTTCCATTGTCCATTAATCTGTCAAATTCATTGTCAATAAAAAAAATGATGAATAAAATGTCAAACATTTAAGAATCTTTCTTTATTCTAAAATTTTCAAATAATCAATCAATCAATAATGATATATTAATTAAAGAACATCTATTTAAAACATAAACAATAAAATTGAAAACTTCAAAACTCTAACCAGAATTCAAAATTACAAGAAAACTATGCTTTATTGGCATAAACTTTTAAATATTTCAAACTAAAATCACTTTGACCATTTTCAGCTCATAATCAGGTGTCTAATTACTTCTAAAAGAACAGAAGTAAATGTTAACATTCTAATCATGTTATCAAACCATGCAAAGGGTATCAGAAAAATGTAAATGGGAATATTTAAATTTTAAAATTATTTCTAATTTTTTTCTTTAGAATGTTAACATTTAATTTTATTCTTTTGGAAGTAATAAAGCATCTAAAGATGATCTATAAGGTCAAAACAGCACTTAAATTTTAATTATTTAGAAGTTCACTTCAATAAAGCACTTCTTACAGAGAATAAAACCATATGCATAGAATAATTACACAAAAATATTTCTTGTAATTCATAATACAATTAAAAATATTTTTTCTATTAGATTAATCAGTTTAAAAGCCTAAACTGGCCAAATGACCAAGGCAATTAAGATATCAGCCTAGGGACTTTGGAAACCAGAAATTGAATCCAAATGACAAACACCCCAGAAATTTTTAAGGTATGGTCTGTCCCAAAAATGTCAAGCCATATCCCTCACTACCTGGTACTTGTGCACTTGTCCAAATCCATGATAGGCAAGAAATGAAGTTTCTACTAGACCAACTATAGTTATGACCTTTTAGTGCTCTCTGAATGGAAAAGGGACTAAAACCTGAAACCTATAGTAGCAGTGGCTCTAGCAAATTATGGAATGGCCTTACTGGGAATCTAGGAGTCTAGAGCAGGTCCTCAAAAAATATTTTTTTAATAAAATAGAATAGAATATAGCTACATAATGTACAGAAAAAAAGAGCAAAAATATTGAAAATTTAAATGTTAAAAATTGATTATTTGTATTTGTTGGATAAATATGTAAACAGAATTTTGTCATTTGGAACACCGGAAAGGGATGGCCAAAATTTTCTAGAGACAGTTTACAGCTCTAGCTACAGGCCTGGTATGAAAGAAGGCCCCTCTCAGTGCTCACAAGAAAGGAAAAAAAATGTCTGAATTGTTTTAAGGATCAAAAACTATAATTTCTAATAAAACATTTGAAATATCATATAGATCCATGTTTAAGAGAGACTATCTAACAGTCAGATTTACAAAATAAAAGCAAACCTTCTGAATCTTTTGCAATATTAATTCTAAACACAATCAAAATTCAAAATTAGCAGTAAAATTTACAGTAAAAAATGCTTTATATGAAAATTTTTTAATATAAATTGTAATATTTATTCTACATCTTTCTAACTTATAATACAAAAAATATCACAAAATTTGTTTTGTATCTTTACACTATTGCATTTAAAAAATAAATGTATAAAAACAGGCTGTTTCAAGTTTTTTTTTTATAAAATAATAAAATTAAATAAGAAAAAATTTTAAAAGCCTTCATTAAAAATTAACCAAATTATGCATGGTTGCCTTTAATGCATAAATTATATGATTCATAACTCATTACATAATTTTTATCTTTTTTTTTTTCTTAAGAATAAAATTAGGAAGATAAACTGCATATTTCATATAACAAGAATAAAATTTATGGTAAATGGAATCTAATTTACATTGTTAAAAACTTTTTTCCACACTCTTAAGACTAATTTAATTAAACATTCTGATTTTGAATAATTTATGTAAATGTTAACTTGAATTGCTTAAATTAATGAAACTATGTCATGGTCATCTTTTGATACAATTTTTACAGCTACGAGTGACAGTGATCTAAATTTTTTTTAAAATTTATATATATAAAAATATATTAAACATGTTAAAAACTGGGTTAAATATAGATGGTTATTCTTAATTAAAATTATACTTAATTATTCATTTCCTCTTTCTGAAATATGATAATATCATTAACAAAATATTCAAGCGAATTATAGTGAAAAAAATATATTTATATGCATACCAAAGAATTTTAAAATGGCATTTTGCTTAAGGAATTTATATTATCCTGCATAATGTGTTACACGTCCATTGATATTGATCTACAGCACTTAAAACATCAATTTCTAATAAATTTGATTAAATGATATGTTGTTAAGATACATCAAAACTTATTAAGTCTAATTTAAATGTTAGTAACCCTTGGCATAAATTATTAGCACTGAGGCTGTAACAAGGTAATAACATCACTGTTCCAGGTCTGTTGAAGTCACTGTCCTCTATGAATATATTTTTATGGGTTTTTTTTGAATTAGACACAGAAAATTATGTACATAAATCATAAGTTTTGTAGAGAAACAAATTTCTTTGTTAGCATATATTATGATGAAACTTTTTGTATAAGAAAAATAATAATTTAACTAAAATATTTAACTTTTACACAACATCATAACTCTTCATACTAATTTTATAAAATGTATTTAGGCCAACAACCTTATAAAAATAAATATGAACATGAAATTTTTACATTATATTCTTTCTGGTGCAAGATAAATTTCTTTAATAAACCAAACTATGTATCAGATTATACATTATAAACGTCAATGCTAGAGAGAATTATCTCTATCTGTCGTCATTAATTTTTGTTTCCTTTATATATGTTATCTAAAAATAATCCATAGTAATATATTTAAATATTATACAAAATTATATTCATGATTCGTGTGATTAATTTATTAAAATGCATTTCAAAATCAAATAAATTCACACATCACATTAATTTTTTAAATAATGAAGTATATTAACTTTATTTGAAAAATTACTTACAAAATGAAACAGTTCAAGTTTTTCAGACTAAAAGTGCATTTTTGGTAACCAAACAAAACAACAAGATCATTATTATGGAAACAACTATTCTCTTTGAATTACAGTGGTACCTCAGGTTACGAACGCCCTAGCATACGAAATTTTCAGGATACGACATGAAATTCGAACATATTTTTGCTCCACGATACGAACAAAAACTCACCATACGACGTTACATTAGTTCGCATTTTTCATTTGTTTTTCTTACTACAGTTATTTTTTTTAATGTATTACTTGGCTTTAATTTGAGTATGTTTTTCGCGTTGGAACGAATTATTTGGTTTTACATGTAATAGTATGGGAAAAGATGATCCACCTTACGACATTTTCATGATATGATCTCAGTTTCGGAACGGATTAATTTCGTATCCTGAGGTACCACTGTAAAAGCATTCGCATCGAGCTAAGCTGAACAGTTGCTATACTCCCACAGCAATAACTTTTCCCTTTTACAAATTTTTTCAATTTCCAAGCTTAAAAGTTATGTAAAAAAAAAAGTGCTATGTTCTCCAAATGAAGTAAATTCATTCTATTATTTTAAACATTTTACCATCTCTTATAAATATAACATAAGAATTTAAACTATCAATATTATACTAGTGATGTTAAGAATATTTTAAATTGATTGTAATCAACTAAAAAACATTTTTTAATCAGTATTTCATATTATAAATTAGAAAGTAGATCAAAAAATTGGAGCCATGAAGCAAACTTATAATTAAGTCAAAAACATTTGTCCAAATTTACATGAAGCTCCTGCTGGTTGAAATAAAAAGTTTTTTTTGGTGAGTATATTAAAAAGTCCTTCTTCAGAGTACAAAAAGATTAATATATTTTATAATGACTAAAATAATAATTATTATTATACCTGTAAATGGTTTCTAGATCCTTTTCAGGTAAAGCCTTGTTTGAAAGAAATTAGAATGGATTTTGAATCTTGATACAACAAATGAAAAAAGAAAATTAGTTCTTCAAATAGACTGTCCATTTCCAAATTTCCAAAACCAAGGGCACTGCATTCTACTATGAGGGTTGTTCGGAAAATTCGCGGCCTTGCCTATATGTGGCACTGCGATCAATTTAATTTTTGGCGGGAATAATTCAGCCATCTTTGGTAGAGATAGAGATACGATACCAATTTCTGCTTGATTTGTCATAAAGTTTTGCCACGACAGCTTAGCAGATAGTCAGTGTGCACATGCTTTGTCAAAAATGGAGAAGACAAAGACTTGTGCGGTCATAAAATACCTGACGGAAAAAGGATTGACCCCATCTCAAATCAAAGGTGACATGGATGAAGTTTTGGGAGAGTCTGCTCCTTTGTATACCACTGTGAAAGAATGGACAGCCCTTTTTAAATCTGGCAGAGTATGTGGAAGATGACCCTCGCAGCAGACGGCCTTCAACTGCTGTCACTGAAGAAAATATCGACAAAGTTCACTATTTGGTATTAGCAGATCGCCATTTGAAAACGCATGAGATAGCTGAGACAACAGGCATCTCTGTCGACCGAGTGCACCACATCCTAACCAAAAATTTGGGCATGACGAAGGTCTCAGCAAGATGGCTGCCGCGTCTGCTGACCACTGAGCAAAAACGTGTTTGCACTTTGATGTTAAAGGAGTGTTTGGACTTCTACCAAAAAAACCCACAGGATTTCTTGCATCAGTTTGTGACTACTGACAAAACGTGGATCCATTACTACACTCCTGAAACAAAAGAACAGTCGAAGCAATGGAAACACCACAGTTCGCCACCACCAAAGAAGGCAAAGACAGTTCCATCAGCAGGGAAAGTGATGGCCTTGGTTTTTTCAAATGCTAAAGGCATCATCTTTACTGACTACTTAGAAAGTGGAAAGACCATTAATGCTGTCTATTACTGTGAACTTTTGGAAAAACTGAAGAAAGAAATTGAAGAAAAGATACCACACTTGAAGAAGAAGAAGAAAAAGGTTCTGTTCCACCACGATAATGCACCTGCACATTCCGCCAGAATCACTGAACAAAAGATAAACGAACTTTGCTTCCAATTAGTTCCACATCCACCATACTCACCTGATTTGGCCCCCAGTGACTTCCACCTTTTTCCAAACCTAAAAAAATTCTTGGCTGGAATGAGATTCCACTCAAATGACGAAGTCATCTCTGAAGTGAACGAGTATTTTGCACACCTTGACAAAGCAACCTATTGTGATGGCATAAAAAAGCTAGAACATTGCTGGAGTAAGTGCATTGCTAACAAAGGAGACTACATTGAAAAATAAAAAAAGTTTTAACATTATTTTGTTTCTGTTCTATTTGAGGCCATGAACTTTCCAAACAGCCCTCGTATATGTCCCTACACAATATAAAGAGATACTGTGTACTTGAAATGATTCTAACTTTGAACATTCCAAAGTTCAAATGCTAAATTCAAAAGAAATTAGACCCAGAGTTTGAATAATGCTTCTACAATATATTTAAACTGCATGAACAGTGAAAAAATTTCCTTAATGCAGAAACACCATTTATTAATTAATCATGGCACTGAAGAAGGGTGTGAAAGCGACAGAGCCTAAGAGGAAGGTTATTGTATCAACAATTGAGGTGAAAAGGAACTTAACACAAAGCGTGAAAGTGGACCACATTTAAGATGTACTAGTACAGCTACATAGTGAGCTTAAGAAGTGGATCATCATTATTTCTCACTAAGTTACAATAAAGGCAATTTTCATTTCATTATACAGTATTTATGTATTTTATTTCTTGTTTCAATTTTATTATTTAAGATATTTAATTATTATTTTTATCTTGAATTATGTATATTTTCTGTTTAAGTTTATTGAAATGGGTATTGTTTAAGATTTGGAAATGGATTAATTCACGTTCCATTATTTCTAATCGGGAAAATTGACTTGGATTTCAAATAATACTGAGTTCAAACAACTTCCCAGAACAAATTAAATTAAAAAATTCAAAGTATGAGGCACTACTATGTATATAAGTAAATATATAGGAAGCCTCATACAAAGATTTTTCCTCTGGTTGAGATATTTAACATTAAAGAGTGAATTGTCTTCATACCAAATCCATGCTTCTCTGTCACTGTTATAAAGCAAAAAAGTTGTTTCATAGTTAAAATAAAACATCCTCCCAGTAACTGTCTAGTGTAAATAACTATGAATGTGAAGACAGATGTTCAAAGACGTTTTGTTTTCTGAATTTTTACATTTTATTAAATATAATAACCAGCTTTTATAGATCTTAAACTTGCTTTTCATAGTGATGGATGTCAAGGGCAATTTTCTGGCTATATTCTTTCTGGTGCAAGATAAATTTCGTTAATAAACCATTTAACAATGGTTTATTAACGAAATTTAACTTTGGGTTCTTGCTCTAAACCCATCGTTCTTCAGTAAGTTT